CTGCCCTTGGATGTCAGAACTCCAGGTTCTCTGACTTTGGGCTCCTGCACTTACCCAACCCCCAGGATTCTCAGTCCTTTGGTCTTGGACTGAGAGTTACACTGTTGGCTTCTCCGGCTCTGAGGCTTTTGGACTTGAATTGAGCCATACAACTAGCATCCCAGGGTCTCCAGTCTGTAATCAGCCCATCATGGGGCTTCTCAGTATCCATAATTGTGTAAACCAGTTCTCCTGGTAAGCCCTCTCCTGTGTATCTCTGTCTGTATATCCTATCTCTATCTGTGCTTTCTCTCCAGAGAACCCTGACTAAAGCAGGTGTGTGTGTGTGTCTGGTTTTTATTCATTTCTTGGCACAAGGACTGTCTCACACATCTTTCCTTTCCTTGTGCAATGAGGGAATGACATGGTGTGGGGGATCCTACTCCCCTCCCCTGTTCTGTGCATCACAAACCAATACAATTTTTCTATCAGCTTAGTCTTCAGCCTTTCCTTAAGATTGCTGCAGCCTGCAGAGAATAGACACTATCCATTTGCCCCTGCTCTTACTCTCCACATGATTAAAGTGCAGCAGACAATGGCTGAGTGAACAGATGAGTGGATCCTGTGCTTCTTTGGAACACCCTCATTTCTGTGTGGCTGCTAGGTCATCCCACCTAGATACTGGGTGCTTCCAGAGCAAGGACTGGGTCTTTTTCTCATCCATGAAATTGAGTCAAGTCCCAGGAGAAATAAGGGGTGCTGGAGACAGACTGGGGAGCCCTAGCTTTGGTTCCCATTATCATCTGGGTTTTTTCGGGTGAGCTTGAGCTTCCCCTGGTCTGGCCTGTGTTCCTGCCACTGGGTGGGTGACAGCTGCTTCTGAGAGGGAGAGGCTTGGTGAAGCTAGGTGTCCCTCGCCCTGCTCAGAGGGCGGTGTTGTTTGCTGGTATAGTGTCAATTTTTATTTTTTAACATGAGTAAAAAGCACCTGAACTTTAAAAAATTATTTTCTTTATAATTCTGTAATTTTGAAATATTGCAAACCTGTTTTCTTGTCGTCAAATACACATAACAGAAAATTTACAATTTTAAGCATACAGTTCAATGGCATTAAGTGCATTCACGCTGCTTTGTAACCGTCGCCACCATCCATCTCCTGAACCCTCTCATCACCTCAGAGAGAAACTCCAAACCCCTTGAACGCCAGCACCCCACCTCCCCTCCCCCATCCCAAAGGCCTCTGCTCTGCCTCCTGCTCCTGTGGATGGGACTCCTTTAGGTGCCTGTGTGAGTGGATGCATATCAGATTGGTGCTTGTCACCAGCTCTCTTCACTTAGCATAAGGTCTTCAGGGTCCATCCATGTGACAGTGTGTATCAGAATCTCCTCCTTTTTTAAGGTTAAAAGCTATTTCATGGTCTATCTACACTTCTGCTGTTTATCCATTCATGGGTTGGGGGCCACGTCATTGCTTCCACCGCTTGCCTATTGTAGATGATGCCTACATCGGTTTTTTTTGAGAAAGAAGCAAATTTATGACCATGACACAGAAATGGATTGTATTTTGCTACAGGGCTCCAGATAGTAAAGACAACCTAAAGAAAAATAAGAAGCAAAAGGAAACAAACCACAAAACCTAAAAGCACTTTAGGTTCAAAGAATGAGCTGCATTGCTTCATTAAATAATCATTTGTTGATTATTTGCTGAAGGATCAGGGTTTCCAATCAGCCATGGGAGGGTCCTTACCCACCCCACCCCGGGGGACCTGAGCCCTAGGGAGCTCGCTTTGACTGAAGGTCAAATGTGGCTGGTGCCCCAAGAGAGTTTTGGGCTGGGTCTCCAGGCCTCCAGAGTCAGGGAAAGAAGCCCTCTCATTGGATGGGAAAAAGAGGACGACCCTAGGAAGCAGTAAACTTTGTACCTGTGATGATGGGGTAGAGGAGACATTGACTATGGCAAATTCCACCTCTGTTCTTTTTCTGTTTCCTGGGCCTCTATTGAGAGCATTGGATTTCTCTAGTTTACATTACTTATTGCTGCTTAATCCTGCACTAAAGCAACCTTATTACTTACTCCGGATTGCTCTGTCTCCAGCAAGCACCTTGGGTTTATCTGACTGGCCTGGTTCTTTTGTGTGTCTAGGACAACCAAGACAAGCTCTGGCCAGCCTTCTGGAAGAGACACATCTCTTTCTATGATCTAGAGCACAGTTCCTCATCCTCTCCTGTGCACAGAGCTGATGAGGCTAGAGATCCCACTGTCTGCCCAGGGGCACCCTATGGTGGAGTGGAGTGTTTGTGGCCTCAGCTCTCCACAGCTGTGCAGCTCTGGGGAAGTTACTCCACCTGTCTGATCCTCACATGTAACATGAGGATGACCTCTCAAGCCCTTTCCAGCTCCCCAATTTTCTAACCACTGTCTCACCCTATCTAGGCTGTAATAACAAAATAAACTGGGTAATTTATAAACAACAGAAATTTATTGCTCACAGTTCTGGATTCTGGGAAATCCAAGATCAAAATGTCAGCAGGGGGCTGGGGCTGGGGCTCAGCAGTAGCACACTTCCCTGGCATGAGTGAGGCGCTGGGTTCAATTCTCAGCACTGCATGTAAATAAATAAAATAAAGATCTATCAACAACTATATATGTGTGTGTGTGTGTGTGTGTGTGTGTGTGTGTGTGTGTGTGTGTACATCCTGAAGGCCCTACATTGCTGTCTGGTGAGGGACCTACCTGTTTCTCAGATGGCACCTTCTCTCTGTGTCCTCACCTGATGGAAGTGGCAAGCAAGCTCCCTTGTGCCTCTTTAAAAAAAAAAAAAGTCTTATGTTTAATGACATAATAATATGCTTCCTGTATAGCGTTAAATTTTTAAAAATCAGATTACAAAAGTCACGTATTTTTAATATTTTTAAAGATTTATTATTTTTAGATATACATGGGATGTAGAGTATATTTTGACATATCATACATACATGGAGTATAACTTCCCAGTCCTGTGGTTGTACATGATGTGGAGTTACACTAGTGGTGTATTCAGATATGAGCAGAGGAAAGTTATGTCCGGTTCATTCTACTGTCTTTCCTATTCTCCTTCCCCCTCCCTTCCTTTCATTCCCCTTTGGCGAATGCAACGAACTTTTGTTCTTCCATCTCCATTATTGGGTGTTAGCATCGGCATATCACGGAAAACATTCAGCCTTGGGTTTTTGGGGATTGGTTTATTTCACTTAGCATGATAGTCTCCAGTTTCATCCATTTAGTGTCAAATGCCATAATTTCATTCTTCTTTATGGCCTAGTATCTTCCAATGTGTATATATACCACATTTTCTTTACCCATTCATCTGTTGAAGGGCATCTAGGTTGGTTCCATAGCTTGGCTATTGTGAATTGAGCTGCTGTAAACATTGATGTGGCTGGGTCACTGTAGTATGCTGATTTTAAGTCCTTTGGGTATAAGGAGTGGGATAGCTGGGTCAAATGGTGGTTCGTTCCAGGGTTTCTGAGGAATCTCCCACGGCTTTCCAGAGTGGTTGCACCCATTTCCTTGTGCCTCTTTTATAAGGGACTGATCCCGTTCATGGGGGTAGAGGCCTCATGACTTAAGTACATCCTGAAGGCCCTACTTCTTCACACTCGCTGGGGATTGTTTAGATGTCACCAATGCATTTTGGAGGAGGAGACATTGAGAGCACAGCTCTCTCCCCTACTAGGATCCATGGCCTCCCTCCAGCACTCTTGGAAGGAAGGACTCCACAGTCTGAAAGCATTGCTATTGTTGCTTTTGAGAAAGTTCAACTTGTTGCCACCACTAGCAAGTGCTCATTTAGTAGCTGCACAATCCAGCTGGAGTTAGATGGACACTGACTCAATTTCTCCATGCTGTCCTCTTTCAGGAAGCAGCTGGGGACCCCATGCCTGTCAGGGCTTTGAGTCCTGGAGAGAGGCAGGGGCTGACCCCCACCAGCCTGGCCAAGCTGACATCAAGATGCTGAGCCTGAAGATCCCCAGGCTGTTCAGCATAGACCAGGTGCCCCAGGTATGTGCTCTGCTCCTTCCAATAGAAGAATTCCAGGGTGTGACCAGGGCTTGGCCTCCTCCGCAGGGGGACTGCATGTCTTCAACAAGTCTGCTCTGCACAGCCCTTCTCCTCAAGCTTCCCCTCTGGGGGAAATGAGAGCTTCCTGCTTCCCCTTCATGCAATAAACCTGGAAATGGAAGCAGTCCCCAAACTATTACAGTCGTAGCCCTTCCATGAGATATCTGTGTGTCATCCAGAAGCAAAATGGTCAAGGTTAGAGATTCAGGTAACAAGAGGAAGCCACTAGCAGCTGGGTGGGCAGGAGACGTTTTTTTTAAGGATCCTCCTATGGGTGCTTGAGGACAGGCCAGGTGAGCAGTCACTGCCGGGTGGCTTTGCTATCATCCCATCTCTTGCAGGAGGCAGGAGGCCAGGCCCTGGGCTGGGGCAATGGGTAGAGCTGCTGTGTGGGCCTTAGCACCACCTTTCCATAGGTTCTTGGGCCTGGGAGGCCATCCTGAATGGTCTGCTTTAATAAGACAGGGGACAGCATTCTGGTCGTGTGCCATGACAAACTGGCCTGCTGGGCTTCTTCCCTTGCAAAGAAAACATGACAGCACCCCTGTTTCGGCATCAATTTTCCTTCCTCTTGGACTGGAGAAGAGGCAATGTTATTTCATGGTGGGAAGGCTCATCTGGAGGATGTCACGGAGGACACGGGCCCCTTTCACTCAGCTGGTCACTCAGCACTTCAGCCATCCCCTGAAAAGTAATTCTCAAACAAACTCAGCATCAGGAGTGGAAGATGAAGAAGTGCGTGCCAGACCCTGACCCTGGGAGCCTGGGAAGCCAGGTGACTCCAGGAAGATGGCACGGGGCATAACCAGAGCCATTTGGTGAAAGGAGGTCAGAGTGGTGGCAGGAAACAGGCGAACTCAAACGGAGCCGGTTTCCATGACACTACTGAGCGGAGCACTGCCTCTGTCCTCACGGGGCATCTCCTCTCCCGATGGGATCTATGCACAGAGCATTAATGACTGGGAAGGCAGTCTGGCTCTTTGCTCATTGGTAACATTTTTATGGACTCTCTACCATGCACAAGATGTGCTCCACAGGATTCAGAGAACAATCTGAGGAACCGCAGAAGGCTTTGTCAAGGGAGTGATCTTTGAGATGAGTTTGAGGATTGAGTAGGATTTTTGAGGTGGAGAGAGGTCCAGGCTTCGAGATGGAAATCGTGGGGCAGGGCTGGGACTCGGGTGGGGATGGTGGGTATCTGCTGGCTGTCTCCACGGGGGTTTTGGTCAGGATTGGATTTGGGTACATGCCACAGAAGTGAAGAAGGGAGAGTGGTATCAATGGGTCCTCAGGTAGCCTCCTGGGATCCTGAGTGTAAGGAGATTCTGAAGGTCGGGACTGCAGAGAGGGGGCTGAAGACAAGCATGTCCTCCACCCAGTTCATAAATGATGGGGTGATGTTCTCCCTTTTAGTGAAATGACACAAGTTACCGGCAGAGAAGCCATGTCACACCTTGCTTCAAAACTTTCTTGGGCTCCAGCATCCACTATTGGGCTTTCCAGCATCAGGCCTGAGGTTCATGAAGCCACAGAGAAAACAGTGCCTCTGTCTGCCTGGGAATTTCACTTGAGGATTTAGGGAAAAGGCTTTCTTAAAAATTAAAATAGATACCAAAGCCTTGAGGATAAAATGAGAAATTTGCATGAACAGTTAACACAGGAGACTTTATACAAATGTCGACCTTATTTTTGGTGGGCTCGGTGGTTCAACACTTGGTTTGCGGAGTGTCCTCAGGAAAAATACTCAATCTCTATTCCTCAGTCTCTGTGCCTGTAAAATGGGAGTTATGGCAGCATCTGCCTCCTAGGATTGTGGTTGGGATTAAGTAAGATAATCCATTTCAAGTGCCTGGCATATGGCCTGAGAAAGTGCATTTCAGGCCACCACACATCAGTAATGTCCATTGTCATTATTGTGGTCAACTCTCCTATGCCTTCCAGGGCACTTTGAGAGGTAGAACTTATTGCTAAGGGACTTTGAAAAGCCCTGCCCCAAATTCAGTTCTTCTCTCCCCCACTCTCCATTCTCCTCTGGCTTCCTTCTTCAGTGCCTGCTCCCTTCCCTGAGCTCCTCGATGGTTGGCTGGATCTATGCAGGCTGCCCTGTGTGGTTGCCTCTCCTTTTGCACAGGAATGTCGGTGTGGTCTTGGCCACTGCCCCACCATCCCTAGACCTCATCTCAGCAGGAGGAGGTACCCACCTCAGTACCAGCACCTCTCGGCACATACCTGGCCAGTAGATTGTTCTCAGCAAGATGCAGTTTCTCTCTTCTCTTATAGAAGGTAGTCCTCAATTTTTAGTCTTCCTTGCACTTAAAAAATAGGCCTGAGTATATTAGGGGATTATGGAAGATTTGAACAAACATCTTAAGGAATGGAATAAGTATCTACACAGAATTAATTTAGAGACAAAGCATTGAGGTCTAGATTACAAGTTACATGGTGCTCTGCTAGTAAATAAGAACATTTTGTGTCAAATTGAGAATCTCTTATTAACTACAGCCTAGACCCATGAGCAGACATCCCATGGTCTCCAGGAGCCTTCTTAACAGGCACATAGTTTCTCCAGCCTAGAATTTCTCCATGTGGATCACCAACGTCAGAATCACCTGGGAGAGCATGATGGGCATCAGGATGGTAGGCATCTGTGTGTCGTTCTTGATTTCAATCAAAAAGAATGCTTTCTACATTCTGTCATGTAATATAATATTTGTGTATGTGTAAATAATCTTTATCAGATTATGTAAAGTCTTAATATTCCTAGTATGCCAGGATTTTTCCCTTTAGTTATGAATTTTACAAAACCCTCTTTTCTATTAGTGTATCTTTTGCAACAATCACGTAGGACTCACTTGAGTTGTTGAAGTTATGAACCGACACCGATGGATTTACCAAGGTTAAACCAACCTTTTGTTCCTGGTCTAAATGTAACTGGGTTATGATGTAGTGTCTTTTTAATCTATTGCTGGAATCAGCTACTATTTCATTTAGGATTCTTACATCTATTTATGAGTTGGAGCGTGGTTTTTTTCCTTGTTAGAGTTGGCCTATAGTTTTTTCTTCTTGATCCTTGCCTGGATTTGGGATTCAAGGTATACTGACAAAAAGTGAGGTGGGGATTGCTGCCTATTCATTCCATGGAAAAAAATCATATAATATTCGAATTATACATTCCTGAAAATTTTCTGGGTGGGGCCACCATCTTGCCAACTCCAAGGAAGCACTGTTTACCTCTTTTTTTTTCCCCCTCTCTTTTTCCTTGAAGTGCTGGTTATGGAATCTGGGGCCTCACGCATGTTAGGCAAGTGCTATGTCTTTGAGCTGAACCTCCAGCCCTACCACTTACCTTTTGACCTACGTGAAAGGCAGTGTCTGGAGTTGGGCAGGGAACAACCTGGCCCTATAGCTGTATTTTCTCTGTGAAAGTTTTGTTTTGTTTTCAAATAATAGCTATGTTGAGACGTAATTCATGTATCATAAAATTTGCCCTTTGAAAGTATATAATGCAATGTATTCTAGAAACGAACACACAAAGAGTACATTGCACAAAACCATCACCAAGATCAGTTTGGGAACATTTTCATCACCACAAAAAGAAACCACCCGTTAGCAGCTATTTCCCACTCCCCTCCCTCCCTCAGCCCTGGCAACCACTAATTTGCTTTCTGTCTGTGTGGATTTTCCTACTCAGGGTACTTGATGCAAAGGGAATCACACAGACTGTGCCCTTTTCTGCCTGCTTCTTTCTTTTAGTATAAGGTTTTCAAAGTTCATCAATACTTGAGCATATGTCAATGCTTCATTTGCTCTATGGCTAAATAATATTCTGTTGGCTATTGCCAGTTCATCCATTCATCAATCGATGGACACTTGAGTTATTTCTATTTTTGGCTATTATAAATAATGCTGCTAAGAACAACCAGGTACACGTTTTTAGGTGAATATGCTTTCATTTCTCTTGTGTATGTACCTAAGAGTGGAAATGCAGTATCATACATTAATTCCTGCTTCCAAGTGCGTAGAATGGTCTTGTTTGTTTTTGGTGCTGGGGAATGAACCCATAGCATCACACATGCCAGGCAAGTGCCCTACCACTGAGCTATGTCCTCACCCTACACAGAGTTTTTATGTTATTGTCTTAATCTAATTTACTATGGTCTGAGATTATCCACCTTTATATTATTTTAATCCTTGAAATTTGTCCAGGCAAGCTTTATGGCTGGCTTAGTAGTACCTGATCAATTTTCATAAATCTTCTAACTGTGCCCTAATATAATAGCTTCTAATTATTGGGGGAAGTAGTCTCTATATGTCCTTAAGTTTATAGGGTTTTTTTGTTTTGTTTTGTTTTGTTTTTGCCAGGGATTGAACCTAGGCCCTTTCACACTGAGCTACCCCCCAGCCCTTTTTAAATTTTTTTATTTTGAGAAAGGGTCTTGCTGAAATACCCAGGCTGACCTTCAACGTGTGATCCTCCTGCCTCAGTTACCCAAATAGCTGGGCCTACAGGCGTGCACTACCATGACCATGCCTAGATCAAGAGCAAATTTTTTGTTTTGCATTTTTTACTAATTTTACTTTGATCTATCCCTAAGTTAAAGTTTTCCTCCATTGGGAGACTGGTGAACTGTTCATCACAGGTAAGTTAATTTTTGCTTTATCTTTGTTGAGCCTTACTGTGTCTTCCTGGTGAAGTAAACTTACTCTTATGTTGCAGTGACTGTCTTTATATCCAGCACGGTTGTGTGTCTTAGAATCCATCTGATATTAATTTAATAACTCCAGCTTTGTTATTAAAATATCTTTCATTTGATTCATCTCTTTCCTTTCTTTGACTTTTAATCCTTCCCTGTCATTATATTTTAACTGTGTCCTAATGGACTTTTAGTTTGGTAATATGAGTCTTTTAACCAAAGTTTAGTCTGTTTGTATTATTTATA